GGCCTGAAGCATGGTGCACATAACGTATACGTTAATCATGACCTGACAAGAAAGCAACAGGAAACTCGACGCCGTACCCTACCAACATTCAAGAAACTCCGCGCCAATGGTGTCAAATGCTCCCTTCCACTTGACAGCATACTTGTCGAAGGTAAAACAGCTTCAGATGCAGAAATTCAGAGGTTACTGCAGACCAACTCGGCATAGGAACCCCGGGGATCTCCGAAGCAAAAAGCATGCCGAATATGTATTTCCAACTGTTGTAGTCTCCTGAGTAAACAAGCCGAAGTATTGAACCTATTGACACAAGAATCTCTGGATATTCTTTGTCTAACAGAAACGTGGCTAAATCCCACCATTCCTGATAATGTTGTAACCATACCAGGTTATAAACTATACCGAAAGGACAGAAGCAGTACATCCCTACCATGGTCACAGCTTGGTGGGGGTGGCGTAGCAATCTATGTTAAGGACCACTTGAGCTGCGATTTTCACCCAGAATTTACGTATGGTAGCTGCGAAATGATGACTGTTGAGATCAAGCATCCAAGCCGACCTGTTTTCTTATCTGTTTGGTACCGGCCCCCAAGACAACCTATACGTTCTTTAATATCTACGCTCGATCAGCTCTCTGATCTGTTTGACCAACACAATAGCGTAATTGTAGGCGACTTCAATGCCAAGAACCGAGCCTGGAAAGACACTGACACCACAGACTGCAATGGTAGGGCTCTGCAGTCGGCTTTCGTGAAGTTCGGTTTCAATGTGATAAATGAAGGGACTGGTACACGACCTAATCTTAGAAGCGGTCAAAACCCGTTGCTCGACATCATAGCAACCAACATACCAGACATGATATACTCTACACACACACTTGAGCCCTTATCTGATCATTGTCCTGTCATTGCCTCGCTATCTCTCTGCACACCAACCCAGCGTCGAAAATGTCGACTACGCAGAACAACGGATTTCGCCAGACTGCGCATACTAATAGAACAGGAACTGTTTCTTGAGCGCGTAATGGGGACTGAACTTGTGGATTCAGCTTGGAAAGCGTGGGAATCTCATTTTCAGAATCTAGTAGACAGATCTTCTATCTTGACCAGTCAACAGGAGCGTCGAAAGCAGAGCTGGTACACGCCAAATCTACACAAACTGAAGCGGAGACCGAATGTACTGTACCGTGCCTACCTGCGCAACCCTCAGTGTATTGAGGCGAAAGCAGCCTATTGCTTATCGCGGAACTTTTACAGAAAGAAGCTTCGAGCGGCCAGACACGCTTTCCTTGACCGTGAGGCTGCTAGTAGTATATCAAAGAAGTGCAGTAAGGGTGGATATGTATGGTGGAAAAGGGCCAAGCAGTTTTGTAACATTGCTGGCAGCAAGTCGTCAGTCCCTGATCTTACAGATGGTGACGCCAGCGCCACCACGGAGCATGAAAAATGCGATCTTCTTGCTCAACATTTTGCAGCCCAGTGTTCAGTGCCACCGGCAGTGAATGGACAACCCTCTCAAGCGCCATCATTAAGTGCTTGCACCACTTTGTACAGCATTTCTAAATTTAGTCCTGGTCAAGTCCATTACGACCTAACACACCTATCCCCCCGAAAATCCACCTCAGCAAATCACATGATACCGATACTACGCTCAATGGCAGATTTACTGTGTGAATCCCTCTCATTCCTGTTTAACTTAAGCTTATCTACTTCGTGCTTCCCCAATTCCTGGAAATCGGCCTCTGTTACCCCATTATATAAAGGCAAAGGAAGTGCCTCTTCACCAACAAATTATCGTCCTATTTCACTGCTGCATCCCGTCAGTCGCCTTTTCGAATACCGGATAGCACTGAGTCTCAGCAGCTTCCTGCATCGCAACAAATTAATATCACCGTCCCAATTTGCATATGTTCCACAGCGATCAGCAACGGACCAACTTATCCTGCTTACTCACCAGATGGCTCGTGTCTCGGCCTACACAACAGATATGATTGTGCATTTCTTGACTTCAGGAAAGCCTTCGATAAGGTTCATCATCCAACCCTGATTGAGAGGCTGAGTACTTTTATGACTCGAAACTCAGTGAAATGGCTTGAATGCTATCTCAATCAGAGAACGATAGCTGTCAAGATTAAGGAGACGATCTCTCCCCAATATCTTTTGAATTGTGGTGTCCCTCAAGGCTCACATCTTGCACCCCTGCTGTTTTTAACCTACATCAATACCCTTCCCGACACATTGACCCACAGCGCCCCTTATCTATTTGCTGATGATGTTACACTGCTCAACACTCATAACATCGGTTTACCTGTTGGTGAGAATCTGGCCAATTTCCAGTTGGATTTAACAAGCTGCCAGCGCTGGGCTAGAGGCATTCACGGGGAGTTTTCTGCGGCCAAGACCACCATGTTCTCCAACTATGCTCCTCCACCCTCTTCGTCTGTCCAAATGGACAACGTACCACTCAATGTTAAAAGTACCGTAATCCATCTAGGCGTTGAGATCAGCACTAATCTTAAATTCCAAGACCATTTCACTACTGTGTTCAAAAAGTTTCGCCAACGTGTAAATTTGTTATGCTTTATGGGCCGTCATCTATCGCATGCACATATTGCCCTACTCTACAAGTCATATGTACGACCCACAGTAGAGTACGCTATCCCTGTCTGGTGCTTCAGACTTACTGCTAGCCAGCTAGAATCGCTTGACATTTTACAAGCAAAGATCTGCAAATGCCTGCTGCGGTCTGCGAAGATTGATTTTGATCGCTATGAATCGAAGAATAATTTAAATAGGCTGTGTAATTTGGAATCCCTTCACTTCCGACGCACTTACATTTCCATCACCGTTTTGTTCAAGTATATCCATTGGCACCCAGATTATCTATCCCGCTTTGACATCAATATCTCTTCTAGCGCACGCCGACCAAACAAACTGATTTTCAATTCTCATGGCCGCATCTCTTCCTCTCTCTTTCTGCATAAAATCGGAAAGCTGTGGAACTGCCTTCCACCAAGGCTGACATCCCAAGATTCACTTTCTAAATTTCAGCAGCAATATCGCTTGCACGTGAAAAGTTTTAAATTTGACTGTAGTGGTATATCCCTGGACATTTAAATTAATTGTTTTATTTTTAACAACCCAGCCCTGTGTTCATTGCTAATTTATGTAGCATATACTGTAACACGTGTAGTTTTCCTCACTGTTTATTTCTATTGCATGATTTGCATCAGGAGATCCCCTCGACAGGCCATCGCCTCTGGGAGATCCTTTAATAAAGATTATTATATATTATATGAAGAATGCGATGTAGGCCTTGACGGATTATGCTAGCATAATTTTTCGCATAATTCCTATCAAAATCGAATAATCGCATAATTCGAGGCAAATTGCATACGAATCACATAAAATTGGAATAATCCGCCTGTTTGCATCAAATTCCATACAGTTGTACATGTTCTACAAGTACAAGTACAAGTAGATGCACCAGGAAGTCGTAGGTTTACGACTCCCTTGATAACATTTATTTATTTTATTTATTTATTTCTGCACATGTCCAGTCCACTACAATCAGTGACGGTCGTAGCTAGGTCGGACGGTGCGTTGACCCCGTTGAACTTTTGCTACTACAGTACAACGCCCTGTACAAAACAATTCCCCTGTTATTTTGCACAGAACCATTATACATTAGCAGCATATGTGAGCATAATGCGGCATAATATGATAACTTTTAGCATAAAAATAGCATAATTCTGCAATTTTTTCAGCAATGCGAAAAGCATAATTTCACGAAAATATTAGCATAATCTGTCAAGGCCTAATGCGATGTCGAACATATCAACGTCCCACCCGTGCCCGCCCTTATGTTCTCCAACGCTCGCAATACAAAAGGCCAACTGGCTGAAGGGTAACACGGGCTATTTTATACAAGCATGCGCATGAAAACGCACAAAAACAAAATAAAACATAAATTATTCACTACAAAAAAGCTGTCACATGCTAGGAAACTAGGCCAAACACGTTGATATGTTCGACATCGCATTCTTCATATAATCCAGAATAGCTGGCAACCACTGCGTGGTCTGAGCCATTCTGCAACTTTATCCCTGCAGTTGCATCTTTTCTCTGCTCTCTGTTGATCATCTTTCTGCTTCTTCCGCAAGACCGAATTGTTGTGTGCCTTTAGTACACCAGACATGTTCTGCATGCAGCTGTAACTTACTTTTACTGTGTTACTGTTGAATATTTTGTTTAGGCGTGAGCGAGGTGGGAAATGCTTCTCGACGAGGTGTAAGAATCTTTGCGCGACATTCGTGGCTACTGTTTTGCTGAGCGGAGGATTGTACCAGATGATGTTTCGTCCGCGGTTTTTCTTCTTTTTCTCTTCATCTTTTTCTCTCTTCTTCATGTACACGATCTGCTCGGCGTAACCGCTGGCCTTGAGCGCACTGTTGTACAGAGGTGCCGCCTCCAGGAAGATGTCTCTGTTGGACGAAATATCTGTCAATCGTCTGCTGATAGACTTGGGTATTTGTTGGATGATGGTTGGCGGGTGGTTGGATAGTGTGTGGATGTACATCGGCGTGTCATTTGGTTTTCCGTAGGGGCGGTAAGTCCCGTCGGCTAGATTGAGTGTTACGTCGAGGTAGTTTACGACCTTCATGCCGGCATCGATGGTAATTGTCAGTTAGCCCCCTTGTCGGGCATTGGTTGTGAGACTTACCACCTCACCCTCGCCGTTAGGCGCTGCATCTGCCACCCTGGTAGCACAGGCATGGTGGTGGCCTGGCACATGCGAAACTTCCTAAGCTGGTTGTGTTTCTCAACGCAATTGTATAGCCGGTGGTAACGCGGACGTGCAAACTTTACTTTTTTTTACATACAGGCGCCTCTAGCTTGACCCGATTTTTTTGTCCCAACATTGGTCCGGCAACTACCGGACCTGCTGGACCGGTCGCTACGGCCCTGAACCCCCTTTGTATAATTAACCGCCATAGTTTGTACCTGTGTTCTTGTCCTGCAGGCGGAGGATCTGAGGTCTGAAATGAAAAGAGATTTTGAGGAGATGAAGGCTCAGATTGAGGAGGACTGCGATCGCGAGATTCTCGACGACGCCAACATGTTTGAGACGAAGATGAGAGAGGCGAAGGAGCAGAACATCAAACTGGCTGGAGAGGCAGGTGTAATGAAGAAGAAGGTGAGTTCTAGTCGGGACTGAACTGTGATCCCTGACATGCACGTTCTGAACAAAGATCAAAAGATTAACGAAAGGGGGGGGGGGGTGCATATGCCCTTGTGCCCCTCACAGCCTATGCGCCTGCAAACAAAAGATTGAAAAGAACATGGCTCTCATATGGGGACTGTCAGTGCATCACTGCTGGTTGTCTGTATGTTAGCTGATCCCAGCTACACGTATCCTGTTGGGTTGTGGTGGAGACTGCTAGGGTACTGAGGCAGTCTCATCAATGTGCGTGCTTCACTGCCCCCGAATAGCAAATGTCTTGCTTGCTATTTGTGTGTCACTAGAAAAGGCTTGTGTGTAGTGTGAGATTGGGTATGGTACTCTCCGTACATCTACATGCATACACTTCGTACATGTAGATGCATACATGTCGTACAATTGCGTGCATACACTTCGTACATAAACACGCCGCACACATGTACATGACGATTGTATACACGTTGCATGCATGGCCCCTGCCAATAGTTGAAAAAATCCATTCTTTTGATTAGGTGAACTCGCTTGCCAAGGAAATCACTGAGCACAAGGCAACGATTGAGAAGCTGCAAGGAGAGCGGAGTAAGTTGCAGGGCGTCATCAAGACGTTGGAAAAGGACATCCAGGGGCTGAAGAAGGAGATGCTGGAGCGGGAGGAGACAATCTCGGACAAGGTCAGTCGAGAGGGTGACAATGCTTCACTTCTCATAGAACTGGTGTATCTTCAAAACAACAGACTAATCTTCAGTTTCACAAGAAGAAAGACCAGGTTTTCATTACGCATGCGCAATATGAGACATGTGAACTAGGTAGTCGTAATATTATAACTACCTGTACATAGCAATAACCACTAGTGGTTGACGCATTCCGTTGAAACTAACTTTGTCGCATTGGGTAAAGTACTTCTGTCATTGCTTCAACTCCTGTCTTTGCGTGAAATATCTTTGCTTAACAACATCGTTGATTACACCGTTGATTACGTGATTGATTTGTTCTGAATCTTGGCTGGCAGGAGAGACAAATCGTTGACATTCGGAAGAAGAATCAGGAGTTGGAGAAGTTCAAGTTTGTCCTTGACTTCAAGATCAAGGAGCTGAAGCGGCAAATCGAGCCCCGTGATGCCACCATAGCACGCAAGGAGAGCAAAATCAATCGGGTGAGAATCAATGACTGCCGTTGGTTTGGGGTGCTTCTTGTCAACAAGTGCATGTAGAATGCCGTACTATTGGGATGTTGGAAGCTATATGCACACTCTCTAAAAGTTAGGGGTGCAAGAGAGGTTGTATTGACATTCAGTACCTCTCTTGCTCCAAGTTGAACCTGTACTGTCTTACCATATAAGGCATGCTGTCTCTGCTGCTTTCCTCTTAGATGACTGCCGAACTGTCAGCGTATGAGAAGGCATACCATGCGTACAAGCACGAAGCCACTGGCTACAAGCAGAAGCTAGAGTCACAGGAGGGTGAAATGCTACAGCAGCAAGAGAAGGTCAGAGCCGGGGAAAAGGCCAGAGGCATATGAAATTTGAGCTGTACCATAGCTGCTTCTGTTGCTCGTGTTATTGTTGTTGCGTTTTTGTATTGAATTCTTTATTCTCACGATGGAACCATCGCCAATAAGAGATGTTGTTGTTGTTGTTGTTGTTGTTGTTGTTGTTGTTGTTGTTGTTGTTGTTGTTGTTGCTATCTGCTTCGGAATCACTGTTTCTTGCATGTTTTTGTTGGCCCAGATCCGCGTACTTGGACTTCTTATCAAAAACTTGAAGAAAGACCTGAGCGATGCCCTGGGTCTCATCCAGTATCCCAAGGAGTTGAAGAAATCCGTCATAACAATGGGAGAAACATATCTCCCCAAGGACAAGAAGCCGGTAAGCCTAGCCAAGCCGCAAAGCACGGCCGCACTGTATGGCGTGTGGCTAAGTCCTGTGATTAGTTTACTGGCTGCCGGCTGGATGTGCGCAAGTCGGCAAGGTTACGGGCGCGAATCCTGTAACGTTCAAGATTGTGATCATTGATCGGTCCCAGGTACACTCAGCCTTGAGGTGTACCTGCCAATGCTGGGGAGGAAAGTAATTGCAACCTTCCTCATTTACACATATTCCTCCCGAATGTTATGCTCAGTTCCACCTTTTTACCGTATTGTCCGGAGTTTAAGCCACACTGGAGTATAAGCCGCTCACAGATTTTTTGTCATGAAACACGGACGTCTATCCTATATATCACTGCTAATTTGACCATGGTAGTATTTTAGCCACACCGACGTTTTTAGGTGAATTACCAGTGTTTAAAGTGTGGCTCATATTCTGGAAAATACGGGACACTAAAAACTCCACAGCCCAAAGATACACTCGAGGGTGATTTATAATGGGGGAAGCATGGCATGCCGTTTGCCGCAAAATGGAAACAAGTCTGAATCCACTCTTCAAAGTTTATAAAATGAATATGGAAATCATTGACTTTCATCTCTCTTTCTTCATGCAATAGTCAAACCAAAACAAACCTCAACCACCGAATTTGTTGAACTCTGGGCAGAGCTCACACTGGTCCGCGTGCCGTGTTGCTAGGCAGTAGCCAGCTGTCAACCAAGTCGTATGTTGGAGTCAATGATGTGTGTATATGTGTGTGTGTGTGTGTGTGTGTGTGTGTGTGTGTGTGTGTGTGTGTGTGTGTGTGTGTGTGTGTGTGTGTGTGTGTGTGTGTGTGTGTGTGTGTGTGTGTGTGTGTGCATGTGTGTGTGTGTGCGTGTGTGTGCTTGTGTGCGCATTTGCTTCATAGGAGGAAGTTGTCCAGAAACCGTCAATGATGTCAGAGTCCGAGAACTCTGCGTACGTCATTAATTGCCTGGAGCGTAGCAATGAGGCGCTGGATAAGACACTGTCAAAAGACCGCAAGATCCACAGGGAAGAGAAGGCGCGAATCTTGGCAGTAAGGTCATGATGTGCCAATGTCATATTTGCAGCATACTGAGTTAGTATGATTTTTTTAACCCTGTGCGATTGCTACAGTGACATGGAAGGCGAGTGCGCTTAAAGCCCCTTAGGGGATATCCCTGCTAGTGCTTGTATTGTCATGTATCTAGCTGATGATTATGAATTAGGAACAAAGTGTGACATTTGGACAGGAGGCATGGTGCAAAATATCGCGTTTGTCGGAGCATAATGCGCACCCGGGTATAATGCCGCAGCCCCGTTTTTGACAAAAATTATAGCCAGTCAAGGTCTAAAAGTCTGGGGAATGCTTCAGCTAGGTGCGACTTCCAAAAGTGACTGCGGCGAAACTTGGCAGGTACAGGCTCGACTCTCGTAACCAGTAAATGATGTAGGGTACAAGTACTTGAAGCATTTGGTGATTGTCGGGTCAAAGAGGTGACCCACCGGCAACCCGCTTGATAAATAATTCCCTTGACAAGTGTCTGGGGCCTTGTACATGCATTTCAATATTCGGAGTATGTAAAGTGCACCCACGATTTTGAGCCCGGAATAGTGCTTTTTAAACGCGCACTATGCTCTGGAGGACTTCTGGGTCCTCCCCCCCCCCCCCTCCCCCTTTTTGATGCCTGATTGCAAGGCTGACACCAATACCTCTTGTCGGTTCAGTTGCTCTCAGCACGCTGGCACGTTGTCCCTACGTCCTCTTTGTCTTGTTTCATGTTGCTCTCCACATGTATCCCAGTAGGACTGTGTTTATATTTAGAACAAAGACAAACAAACAAAAAACATGTTATTGCACAAGATCGATTCAGCTTGTCTTACTGATTGCGGTAAACAAAAAAACAGCCGAGAATCATTTCCGCCAGAATCAACCATCCCTACTTCCTTCTTGTCACAATAGCATCGTGTCTGATCCTTAGCCAGCAAGAACACGACAAAGTGTGCTGGTGTGACTCTCGATGGATGTGCTTCTCTTTTCTGCATTGTCGCATAGGAAAATGTTCAACTCATCAAAGAGATCAACGAGCTGCGAGGGGATTTGAAGTCGACGAGAACGCGCGTGCACGATTTGGAAGTCGCCGCCAAGTCTCAGCGCACGTTGCGCTTGCAGCAGGTAGCGGCCTCGGCATCGGCAGTGGGTATGACTGCTGGTTCTAGCAGTGCCAGTTTGACGGCGCTGGGTGCGAGCCCGGTGGCTGGATACGGCACCGCTGTCAGCTTGCCACTCGGCCGCCAGGACAACGCCGGCCAGCAACGTGTCCACACCGGCACTGCCGGTCCTGACGACGTGTCTGAGCTGCGGCAGGTCATCGAGCAGCAGAAAGAGGAGCTCACAGCGCTGCGGGTCAAGTACCGTGCCGCCCTGTCTGGCCAGAGAGCAACGGTTGTCAACTTCCCTATGATACGCTCCACCTCGGTTACTGGTCAGTGATGCGGTCGGATGAGTCTTATTATGCATAGATAAGACACTCAGTGCTGTTACTGTGCTACCTGCAGCATGCTGTGTGCTCAGCATCTTGACGGCAGGGGCACACGGCATGTTGGTACCGGACTTGATGATGTGCAGTGCATGATTACATTGTACCCAATGGTAGGTGGCTGGACGCTGGACGGCCTTTGTCCACAACCTCATGGGAACTTGACTCTAGATCGGCGGACCGTGACTTCCTGCTAACACACTTGGCACGAATCTCAGCGTTAACTTGTATTCACCTGCTCTTGCCATTCTTCTTTCCAATGGTGCAAGGATTTCTCATACTCATAGGATGATTATTGCCACCGAGATGTGATGAGTTCCATAAGACCCTGAGAGTACATTAGAACTTACATCTAGAGTTTTCCCTAACTGTCAATCAAATTTAATCCAAAATGCTAGTCATTGTTGAACAAATGGATAGTTGTCCTCATCTACTTGCATCTATTCGAGTGGCTGTACGTACATTTCTGATAAAGCTTGAAATGTTTTTGTCACAATACCATTATCAGCGGTACGAGCTGATTCTTTATCAAAGACAAGGCTAGAGCCTCAGTGTACGAACATGCGCATGCGTATGTGTGTGTGTGTGTGTGTGTGTGTGTGTGTGTGTGTGTGTGTGTGTGTGTGTGTGTGTGTGTGTGTGTGTGTGTGTGTTGGCCAGCTACAAGTATCGTTCGTTCGGTTGGTAGGTTCACGTATGCCAGATAGTGTTGGATCTATAACCCACGGGCTCAGTGGCTTGAAGGTGTATTGTTGTACCTGTCACCTTTGTTGGTTTCAGGGTTCGCATGCTTTCTTTTAGAAGTATACTTCGAAGTACATACATTGTACCTGTTTTAAAAGTTTTAAAAGCCAATATCAGATTCACTGTGATTCAGCCACCCACACCGGGTTTCTTTAAACTAGTGTAGGTGCACTTTATAGTTAGTCAATCAGAGTGAATAAGAATCAAGTATTACTATTACCTTCACTGGGGGCAGGTGTAAAATTAATGAAGTTGGATCCTGGGGCAGGTACAAGTACAAGTCATGTACATTGCATTGTACTACGACACCTCGTGTAGCGAGTGAAAAGTGCAAGCTGTCATGAAGTGATGAGCGGTCAAAGCACATGACACAACACTCAGTGATACTGATAGATCAGATCTCTTCGGCGGGGTTTGCACGGCTCTAATGTCAAGCCAGGTACCTCTAATAGTAATACTACCAAGATTATCATCTCTGCCTGGGATCGAGCTGGAAGCATGCATGACTGACTGGCTGATCGGACCACGGACCAACAATACCCACTACATGTGGTACAATGACTTTGAGCAATGCTCGAAGAGCGACAATGAGAAAGAAAAAAGTCCGCACCAAAAAAACGGAGAAGAAGAAACGTTCTTCGTATGGAGATCAGCGGAGTCGGAGAGAAGCTACGGCTGAAAGTGTGATCATTCATATGCATGTCTGTACATGTACAGTGTATGTGTAAACATGCTGAGTCTGTGTTCATGCCTGAAGGCAATATCAGTCGATATGCAGTCAATAGGCAGTCGTTATCACTCCCTTAGTATTGACTCCCATAGAATTTTGCCATACCTAAGCAGTCAAATATTCCTGCATATTTCACTCCTCTAATAGGGCTATATTGACCGCTTATATTTGACTCCTTTTTAGCGATTGAACACATGCTTTGGTTAGTCGTGATAAATCTAATATTGACTTCGTACTTGGTCAGTATGTAGGAATTAAAAGACCTCGTAAAAGACCTCGGCTTCGCCTCGGTCTTTTACTCGGCTTTTATTTCCTATATATCGTAAAAGACCTCGGCTTCGCCTCGGTCCTTTACTCGGCTTTTTTTTCATATTTTGACCTCGTACTCAGTCAATATTAGATACATAGCATTGAGTCTAGTCGATATTTGAGTCCATTGTTCCACCTGGAAGTACGAAGGAACTACCATACAGTCATGTATTACCTTCACTACGGGCAAGCGTAGATGAAGTATTAATTGGATCCCATGACAGATAATATCTTGATGCTGTCAATCCTTTTTTTCTCCGCCTTGCGCTCACCCACGTACTGAGGTGTGTCCGGCCCACACGTGGGATTACTTCCAAGTCTACCCACACTGGTGTGGCCACAGTCTGGACATTTCAGGGTGTATGAGCCTTTACTTGGCTTTAGGCGGTTCCACTCCACTACATGTACTACTCCCTGCACAGATTGCCATGGTTATTTGACGCGCTTCTTCAGACCAAGTCACCATGGTCACCCCGTTATTTCCAGGATATTCGAACCACATCGGACTGGTAGTGCCAAGTGGTAAGCAGCAGCAAGCACCTGGGGGCGCTTCACGATGATTGACTCTTCACTTTCCTGATCATTTTAATGATGTTTGTCGTCGCACTAGCTTCACTCTTGGAGCACTCACTTACCACTATTCCCACCTTCCTCATAAATCCTTTTCTATCATTACTATCGTTTGCTTACGCCGGATCCGGACCGAGCTAGTCTAGCCAGATGGCACCACATTATGGCATGTTGAACTGTCACATTACATTCAAGGTGGATTTTAACAGATGTCACGAGAACCGCGTCGCGTGACTACATGTAGGTAACAGTCCGCGCCAGCCTCCGCGTCAGTCCGCGATGGCGCGATCCGCCATGGGAGTGACCAGGGAGTTGTAAAAACAGGTTTTTACAACTCAACAGGTTTTTACAACCAAACCGGTTTTGCAACTAAACATGTTGGTAAGAGGCCCAGCCCCTGACACAGATAACATTCGAATTCGCTGTGGGAATGCAGCCCTTGCAGTTGTGGAACAAGCGCGGTACCTGGGCGTAATGGTAGATGGGCAGCTCTCCTGGGAGCCTCACGTCAATCACACAATCCAGCAGGTGCGGAAGTCAGTAGGTGCGCTGTGGCGGAGCCGCCGAAGCCTCACCCTGGCGTCAAAGATCCTGTTTTACAGGTCGATGATCCAGGGTAGGTTGTCGTACGCTTCCAACGCCTTTTATCCGTCACTTCAAATTGGCAACATGGAGCCCCTCACACGTCTAACGAAGTGCGCTATCCGCGGCTTCTTCGGTCTGCCACCGTGGTCGCGCACGAGCCCGATCTTTGAACAGCTCCGCCTCACCACCCTGGAGGACATGTTTAACATTAAGCTCCTCATCTTTGTCCGTCGTTGTCTGTTCTCCCGAGCTAGCTCCCTCTTCACCAGCTTCTTCATGAGAGTTACTGGTGACCGCACTCGGGGAGCAGCACATCACCTCGTTCGAGTACCATTTTGGCCCGGTCCTGCGGGTCGAGCGACCATGCAGTTCATCGGCGCAGTCCTGTGGAACCAGCTCCCGCCTGATCTCCGTTCCGAGCCCAGCCACCTTCAGTTCTGTGCCCTGCTAAAAGCGCATCATGGCTCCGTTTAAATGCTTTTCGGCTAGTGTGTTTCTGTGGTATAGCGGACTGAAGAATAGTAAACGTGTTTTGCAATATATGTATGAAGCTATTTTGTATATAGTATGTTCCCATTCCGTTTTTGCTTTGGTGTAGCCCTGAGGTTGATTGCTTATTTATTTCTACCCTTCCTCTCTCCATACTTCTGTCCCCCCCCCCCCCTCTCTCTCATTCCTTCTGTCGTCCACATGTATCAAAGGAGGCGAAATCGCCTGTTTGTGGTGCGACGATAAATAAACTTCTACAACAACAACAACAACATGTTTTTACAACTCCCTGGGAGTGACGCGCACGCATGGCAGCTGTAGCTCGTGATCGCATCTGCTGAGCATATTCCGGATATTGTTTGTTTGTTTGGCTTTCTTCAGAGTGGAGTTCCAAAACAGGCCTAAACCTAATGACAATGGTCCCACTGATAATAAGAGAAGAGAAAAATATATAAAAATAAGCGGACAAACAGAACAAAGAAGAAGATAAGTTAGATAACTAATATGAGCACGGCAGCAGGGGAAAAAATGTCACAAGCACGGCAACCGGGAAGAAAGGAGAGAGAGAGAGAGAAAAAAAAGCTTCACTACCTTCACTCTTGGAGCACTCACTTACCGCTATCCCCACCTTCCTCATAAATCCTTTTCTACCATTGCTATCCGCATGTTTTGCCTCTGCTCGACTACGCAGCTAGTCTAGCCAGATGGCACCACATTATGCCATTTATGCCAAAGTGTCACATTACATTCAAGGTGGATGTCACGAGAACCTTGTCGCGTGGCCCCACAAGCGTCACACGCGTGACTACAGACATGGCAGTAGGGAACAGTCCGTCAGACTCCGCGTCTATGCCACCGCGACTGGGAGAAGTAACCAGGGAGTTGTAAAAACAGGTTTTTACAGCTCCCTGGGAGTGATGCATGGCTCGACTAGCACGTGATCGCATCTGCTGTGCATGCACATTCCGGATATTCCGGTGCTACAGTAGGCGGATAGCTCGGTTCACAGAGCTCTAGAGGCGTCACCGATCCTGTAGCTACATGAACACGACATGTATGAGCGGGCTCTGATGAGAAATCACATTCCATGATCCACTTTCCAGTCCCGATCCCCGCCGAGCGGGGCTGCACGGCCATGGCGCTTACCAACACTGGGCTGTGCGCTGAGCGCGACTTTGCTTTATATACTAGCATTTTAGCAATGCTACATCAGAAAGTTAGTTTATCACTCAACAGTTACAAGTACTACAACTGAAGTAGCGCTGAATCTACGGTACTTGAAGGAGAGAGAGAGAGAGAGAGAGAGAGAGAGAGAGAGAGACCGGCTGCACGTAATTCTGTAGTCAGTTTCAATTCTATCATCATACCGGTGGTGCACTTTCCGACTCGAAACTACCGGTACACCTCGCCTCAGCCCGGATTGTAGCCGATTATTCCGAACTCTAGCAAAATGGCCTCGCCGGCTGGGCCAGCTCAGGTCCCTATCCGAATGTATCATGTCACGAATCAGCTTAGTCAGAACAGTGACGGAACCCCACCCACCTGGCCTGAACTGCGCCTGTGCTTTCCGAATTGCATGAACTTTGATGGCGACCTGGCAGGACTTCCCGTGGTGTGCATGACCACAACGTGTTACGATACTAAAGACGCCTTGCCTACAACATCGCCCTACCCTTGCAAAGCGAAGAGTGGGGTATATCACCACCGTGTCCACGTTCCGTTTCACCTGGAATCCTATCATTTGTTCCTGCTCACAAAGTATGACAGCAAACGCAGCGAAGACAGCAAAGACAGCGAAGACAGCGAACCTCCCGGCGGTCAGCGACAAGTACTTTGCTTACCCAAAAGTGAGGCTGACATGTATCTCCACGAGCGGGTTCTGTTAGTGCTGCTTCGAATCAAATACAAGGAACTAACCGCCGAGAACGACTATAAAATCAGCGACAATGAAAGCCTCTTTCCTGTCGTCGATGGCACTGGACCACCTCGTACTAATACCAAGTGCTACAGAGCTAACGTATACAATTACCCTGGAGAGAAAAACTTTGTAAACGTCCACTTTGTGAGGCCAGTTTCCCTGTCCGTCGTCGCGGGCAAAAATTGGGACACGGTGGAGCGCAGTGATGCTGGAGTACCCGCCAAGGTGTATACAAAGGGCACCACCTCACTACGAGAGTGTCTAGTGTCTTGGATATTGGAAGCGGCCAAAGACAAAGCTCTGAAAGCTAAGCGTGTCGACATAATGGATGGTTTTCGGAATGCTGTATACCAGGTATACACCGAGGAAATTCCTCGAGATACGCCGTGGAAGAAGTGGAAAGAGGTCATCAAAGACCGCCTACTTGGTGACAAGGCCATGTCGTCAGTGTTCCATGACGAACAGCAGGAAGATAGTCTCGCCGCTGCCTAACGCTGGCGTTAGTCACTTGGCGGTCAGCGAAAACAAATGACGCACTCTGTGATGAGTCACAGGTACTAGCCTCACAGGTGGACGAGGCAGGCATGCGTTGTGTTTGCATGTGGACGATTCCCAGGCATGGTCCAATCTGCATTCCCTGGTCAGCGGCCCTGGTGGAGGCTGTTGTTACTTTTCATTGCACTGTTGTTTGTGTTGCTTCTGCTGTCTTCTTTGTCACCTAGTATCTACTACATAATTGTACTCTAGCATCAAGACTATGAATGACGTCATGTTTAAGCACTGGCCAGCCTTACCTTCTTGGAGTTTTGAGGGAGTTGGAGCTGCACCAGACTTACATTTGTTGATTCGTGCCTCCACTGGTCTTCTCAGTCTCACTGGGTACAGTAGGTACCTGTACTTGTGCAACTGTGTAGCCGTATGCCCGGCTAACTTTTACTTGCATCCACTGTGCCTCGCTGCGGCTTGTTTACAAATTCTTCACATTTCGCGCATTCCATTTCCTCCACATGTACCCATACCTGCCAACCCAGCCAAAGCAAATCCCTTGCTGGCGTTAGTCACACACCCAGTTTCCCTTAATTTTCTTAGATTTTTCTCCCATTTCCCTTATTTTTCTGGTTTTCATCCTACTGTTAGGTACCTCCTCCCGTACCTTTTCTAGCTGGCCTGCATGCACTTACGTACTCACCTTTTGTCTCCTTTTGCTCCGTTGGCCTGGGTAGCTACTTGCGCGCCCATATTTGCCATAGCTACTAGGCTTTTCCACATTATGTTTTGCATAATTTTTGCATCTTGGGGGTAAAAATGAATCCCCGTTGTAAAAATGCATCTTTCGTGATTTTTACCAGATTTTCTTCAAAAACAAAAAAAGTTTGTGTGGTTTTTGTCAGATTTGTAACGTGCGTGATCTAAGGCTAGGAGGCTACTACCCACAGTCAGTCAACCAACGTATCTGAACTTACTCCGGCACGGCCTGGAGGTTACTGTGAATGATCTTATATCAAAGTGAAAGTGAACTTGTTCTCTCTCAACCACGACTCTCTCGTATGAGATGCAAACTAGAGAACTTATACAGAATCTAACAAGGCTGTTGGCAAGGGGGGCCAGCTAGGAAGCTTCAGCTGGGGTCTATTGCGGGAAACAAGCAGCAGGCAGCAAAACAGCTAAAGAATGTATGCGATAGTGTAGCAAGCAACCTGGAAATGCCATTGATTACTCGCAGCGCCTCAGTGCTACAAAGGAAGCATTGGAGCATGAGGCTGATATCGCAGTGCAGATAAGTCCATACAACTGCACAAGGACCTCTTGCAAATGAAGCATAGCGGCACAAGTATTGTATTTTGGAAACAATGAAGACTACTGATAATTAGTGTTGGTCTAGCTACTCTCCAGTGTGTAGTGGCGCCATGCAAGGATCATGGAAGAACAATCGTAAATGTAGGAAGTACTGTATGCTTCTAAACAATAAGAGTCATGCAAAATACATGTACTACTAGTCATGTGTAAACTGTAAAGCAGGGATACTACAGATTTTCTTCAAAAATAACAAATTTGGCGTGATTTTTGCCAGATTTTCCTCAAAAACAACAAATTTTGCAAGTGCTAGCTAAACTTTAGCCGACAGGCATTTTCTTCTGCTGGCAAAACTTGACCTTGCCCCGCACCTGACGTAACCTGACTCTTGTCAGTCTCGAAATATTCCCGGCACTGGGCCATGGGGCCGGCAGGCGGCAGTGCATGATGATGTGCATGCATGCACGAGTACATGTCCAGTCCTGTAGGGTTCCCTGTGATGCCAACATGTACATGCTTCGAACCAGGGAGTCGTAAAATACCGGTATTTTACGACTCCCTGCTTCGAATGAATTTGGCAGCCATCTTGTTGCCATGGCAACGGGTGAATAATTTTCGCACATTGGGTGATTTTTTGAATTTTTTTAGATTTTTTTCAAATCTATCCATTTTTGAGAATAACATCATTCCCCAAAAAAATTTTTTTTTTTTCATACGTAATGACTGATAGAATGCTACACTTGTGAAGAAAAAGACCCCCCCCCCCCAAAAATCGAGTTTCACATCCACATCTTTCCAATATTTTTTCGAATAATGTGGAAAAGCCTAAGTAGTAATAGCTACCCGGGCCCTTTATCTTGCCGTTTAGACTTGATCTCTCTCTCTCTTTCTCTTTTCTCACTCGTCAATAATCACCATGTAGTCGTTTCGTTCGTCTTGGTCTCTTGTCTCGTCGTCTATAATAAATGTCGTTCCCACTAACTTGTTCCCGTTGTCAGTCGTCCTGTTTCGAACTCAACATTGGCGCCCGATTATTGATCGACTCACGACCCTGAGATCATCCCATGCCCAGCCGTCCTCAACCGCCATTCGTCTTGTCTATGTCAAATTGTCAACCTCGTCTCGTCCATGTCAGTCTCGTCTCTCCTACGCCAACCTCGTCTCGTCTCTATCAACCTCGCCTCGTCTCTATCAACCTCGTCTCTCCTACGCCAACCTTACTTCGTCTATTCTCGTTCAAGCCATGCAGGTCAGCTATCTTTCTCTCTTTCTTTTTTTGTATGCTTCTTCGTCAAATTTATTTTCCTGAATTTTTTGTAGTGTGTGCGCGCGCGTGTGTTCGTAAAACATTACCAAGTTAGGGGTCCGATCATGGTGAGCCACGCTCTAATTTTTTGGATGTTTAGCAAAAGTGTAACTAGGCTGTATTAGCCGTGCAAAATACTAGTAATTCACGTTCCTCGTCAAACTCCAATAGTTATTACACACAATAAGTAGTACAGGAATGACCTGTAGTGCATTTTTAGTAAACACTTTCGTGAGATCCGTGCGCGCGTGCAGTATGTGTGTGTGTGTGTGTGTTTTCTCCTCCAGTTCATTTTTTTTAAATCTTTTTCTCTCTTTTTTTTCTCTCCGCGAGGACGCGGGATTTTTTTCATGGAGGGGTGGTATGTTAGGTACCTCCTCCCGTACCTTTTCTAGCTGGCCTGCATGCACTTACGTACTCACCTTTTGTCTCCTTTTGTTCCGTTGGCCTGGGTAGCTACTTGCGCGCCCATATTTGCCATAGCTACCCAGGCCCTTTATCTTCCCCTTCTTGCCTAGCCTTGTCTTGCTTGCCTTGCCTGGTCTTTGTCTTGCTTGCCTTACCTTATCCTATACCGAACCTCTGAGATTCCTTGTCGTTGTCGACTTGATCCGATCGTCCCATTGTGACTGTGCCTGTCCTATCACTACAATGAAAACTTCACAACCACTAGTGAAAAATGCTGTCACACCACAAAACAACCTTTTCAGTGCCAATAACGGTAGTTTTTTGATCAAAGTCAAAGATCCCCGGTATGCGGATAATGCTCGAAAAGGTGGCAGATTCTGCTCGAAAAGCAGTGAAATTGGCAGAACTATACAAACCGTATGGCGGGCAATTCCTCGAATTCTGCTCCATTTCTTTATCCACACACCAAACATGCATGAAACTTACCAGAAAAAGTACCGAATTCTGCAAATTTTTCTGCCGGCATATCCGCCAAGACCTACCGGTAGTAACCCTAGTTTTCCAGTAGTATACTGGGAAAACCGGTATGATTGGCAAGTATGTACAGTACCTGGTATCACCACACTTCATTATTACTACATGTATTATTAGCTTAACCATCACACCGACAGTATGCTCTCGGCGTCTGTTTAGCGCAGCTTCACGAGAGACTCTGAGCATAACTATAACAACTATACTAAACAATCAGCTCATGTTATAACATTGCACGACACTGACCGACGGCACTGATGTTCTACAACTAACTGGCTATCAGCTCTAGCACATCTTGGATGCGCACTCCAACACGCCAACAGCCTTCCAACTTGGAAGTTTCTAAGTTACAGTGAATAATGAATAAACATTGTCCAATGGTCTTGCGGCCAGTATCGTCATCGACATGCATGTACCGGCACATGTACATCCGCCAACGGTTATACGTCCTTCACAGCTTAGACTTTCAGCTCGTGCTTGTCTTGGTTGCGCTCACCTTCCCCTCCTATGTTATCATAACTAACGTGTTACTTAGAACCTTCCACTAGTTGAAAGGCTGTTGGAGTGCACATCCACGATGCGCTAGAGCTAATAGCCAGTTAGTTATGTAGTTGACTTGTAGAACGTCAGTACCATCGGTCAGTGCCGTGTATTATGTTATCGCATGAGCTTTAGTAACTGGTGGTGTTAGTGGACATTATAGCGTAGCTTGAAGTTCCTTGGCCCTTTTCTTTCCTATAAAAAAAGGACAGGGAGTATTCCACACAGCATCAAGGCAGGAGACGTACTGCACTGTGAAGGACTGTGTTACAGACCAGAAAAACAACTCCCTAGTATAATGAGGGTCAGAACCAGGGCTACCACACATACTGTTCAAATGGTCGCAAGACCGAGGCTCTGACAACCGTGGATCGTTGTACATGTAGTAAGGTCACTGTTTCCGAGCACGGTGGTCCTCCGGGCTCCGGCCCTCCGCCTTGTAACATGCTACAGGTCGTCCCCCGTTAATAAATAAATTTAGGAGTGACAGGCAGACCCCTTCGCTGGCTCATCAGCTACCTCAGTGAGCGGACACAGCGAGTTTGTTTCGGGGCCAGCAGCAGCACAATCACCTCTTGCAGCTGCGGTGTGCCCCAGGGATCAGTGCTCGGCCCGTTGCTCTTTAACGTGTACACAAGAGATGTTCCTCAAGTAGCCCAATCCGCAGCCACGATCCAGTTCGCCGATGACGTCGCAGTATATTGTAGCGCTGACACGACTCAGGCTGTTGCCAGTACGCTCTCCACCGCAGTCTCCTCCTTGGCTGCATGGCTGGAAGAGCGAGGACTGATTCTGAATGAGAAGAAGAGTCAAGTTCTCACAGTCTTTCCTGGTAGAGACGCTGGACCCCGGGTCACAGTCCTCTGTCGCAGCCAAGCTCTGCCGACAGTCACCAGCGCGAAGTACCTTGGCGTCATCATTGACGAGGGGCTGAACTTTCAGCAATACCTGAAAGCCATTACAGCAAAGGTGTCCCGCAAAGTAGGTGCCCTCTGGCGGTCTCGGAGATGCTTGAGCCTGGCGGCCCGAGTCACCTACTTGAAGTCCGTGGTGATGCAGGATCTGACCTACGCATCAAGTTGTTTCGTGTTCTGTCTAACTGCCCAGCAAGCAACGGATCTCCAGACGCTGGAGAACAAAGCGGTTCGCGCAGTTTTTGGCGCTCGGCCATACGACTCTGCTCAACCTCTGCTCCAACGGGTGGAACTCTACCGAATCTCAGAGCTGCACAAGCAAAAGGCGCTATTGCTCACCTGGCGATGCATCCACGGCATTGCGGGGAACCGGCTCTGTGGACTGATTTCAAGGTCACCAGATCGGCGTACCCGCTTGCAGAAGGACATCGGAGCGCACTACCACCCGCCGCAAGCCGCGCTGGTCAGGCTAGGTTCTCTGTTGTCGCTCCCAAGCTGTGGAACGCACTACCCAGCGACATCCGCACCATCCCCCAACGCAGTGTGTTCAAGATGTCAGTCATCCCACATACGCTCGCTCCATGAAACGTATCACCCATTATTCCAGTCACTGTTGCTGTCGCATCCACTCGTATGTCGCATCCACTCGTAGTCCACGTCCACTGATGTCGACCGATGTAGCTCTCTTGCTACTGTGTAATAGTGACATGTACCCAGCTAATGTCTCTGCTTCATTCAGGGAATTCAGAATAGGAAGTCTGCTGTACCACCCGCTCTTTTCTTTTTACTTTTAAAAGCGATTATTTGTAACATGGAAATTTGTTCCTTGGCTCACCATCTGAGTTCTTAAAGCTATTATTCATTTTCTGCTGCCCTCGGTTATTTCTTTTATTAGTATT